GGTGTCCATAGACTATGAAGTGTTTCACTAAACACTCGGGGTCCCCACACAGGTGTCTATAGACTATGAAGTGTTTCACTAAACACTCGGGGTCCCCACCCAGGTGTCTATAGACTATGAAGTGTTTCACTAAACACTCGGGGTCCCCACCCAGGTGTCCATAGACTATGAAGTGTTTCACCAAACACTCGGGGTCCCCACACAGGTGTCTACAGACTATGAAGTGTTTCACTAAACACTCGGGGTCCCCACCCAGGTGTCTATAGACTATGAAGTGTTTCACTAAACACTCGGGGTCCCCACACAGGTGTCCATAGACTATGAAGTGTTTCACTAAACACTCGGGGTCCCCACCCAGGTGTCCATAGACTATGAAGTGTTTCACTAAACACTCGGGGTCCCCACCCAGGTGTCTATAGACTATGAAGTGTTTCACTAAACACTCGGGGTCCCCACCCAGGTGTCCATAGACTATGAAGTGTTTCACTAAACACTCGGGGTCCCCACCCAGGTGTCCATAGACTATGAAGTGTTTCACTAAACACTCGGGGTCCCCACCCAGGTGTCCATAGACTATGAAGTGTTTCACTAAACACTCGGGGTCCCCACCCAGGTGTCCATAGACTATGAAGTGTTTCACTAAACACTTGGGGTCCCCACCCAGGTGTCCATAGACTATGAAGTGTTTCACTAAACACTCGGGGTCCCCACACAGGTTTCCATAGACTATGAAGTGTTTCACTAAACACTCGGGGTCCCCACCCAGGTGTCCATAGACTATGAAGTGTTTCACTAAACACTCGGGCTCCCCACCCTAGTGTCCATAGACTATGAAGTGTTTCACTAAACACTCGGGGTCCCCACCCAGGCGCACTGGAATGTTTCAGAACGTGTTGCAAAAACAAAAAAAATTCCTTCCAAGACATTTAATTTCCCTTATCACTAAAATTATAGCATTACTTATCAGCTATCGCCTAGGGACATTAAATAAATAAATATATATATTTTGTAAAGGTCCCTTGCCAAATTTTTATGACACGGTGGGGTGAAAAAAGGGGGGGGGGTAATTAAACTCTAATCCATGTTATTTTTATCAGCGTATTTCCTTTATTTTACTTTTAAAAATTTTAACTGTTTTTCCTTTATTTATCATTAATAGATCAAATCCCATTCTGTACCTCTACCCCAAACCCCCCCCCCTCCTATTTTTTCCCCAAGTCCCAACACACGAGTTACTTGACCCACTTTCTCTACAAATTCCTCCACCCTGAATGTGCAAAAAATACGAAGTTACTAAATNTTTGTGGGTCGTTTGGTGGGTCATGATGGTGGCTCATGTTGGTGGGTCATGATGGTGGGTCATGTTGGTAATTTGGTTGTTGGTAATTGGAGAGTGTGCGTTTGTTGTGACCATAGCTAGGGATCGTAAAGTAGAGATAGCATCATTTGACCGTACTCTAAGGAAGCTATTGTATATCTCATTGTGAACCCATTGTGCCACCGTCAAGTACTGTCAGTGCTATGATATCCACCGTGCGGTACTTTAAATGCAGGGGATCCTTAAAAACTTCTTTCTTTCTTTTTAAATTCCGTGTACCCCTTTTGTCAAGTCAGATGAAGGGCACGGATCCCTTACTAGAATACAATTTAAAAATGCGAAGAAAGGGAAGGAAAAAAAAAAAAAGGAGGGGGGGGGAACATAAAGATTTAAAAAAAGCAAAAAATAAAAAAAATTACTAGGGCTAAGGAAATCCAAGTTCATAGAAACTCTGAAATCTCTTCAAGGACCACCACCAAGGTGTCCTTTGATCAAAGGTTAAGAACCCCCGTTTGAGTGCTAGGCTGTACCGTGACACGGGCTGGAAGCCGAAACCTCTATCTTCTGACTGGCTCCTCTCATGAACTGCGAATCCGTAGTTGGGAAACTCCTAGATGACTCCACTTAAGCATCTGCCGCAGCTAATCAATGCTTCCATTTTTTTTTTTAATACCAGAGGTTCTCAAACATAGTGAGGGGGGGGGCGTCCCGCGACTTAATGGCTCCATTGACTAATAAGACAATTTAGATATCCGCTGTTTTCCAGTTTGTTTCACTCCTCAACACGGCCCCTTTCCAAATCAAACACACGAAGGTATAACCACATGTCCGTTTAGCCGTCCTCATAATTAAAGGTACCCTGATGTTCACTGTGAGAATCACTGTAAATGACAGTTGATCCAGGTCATCAATCCATAGCAGTAGAGTGCTCAACGTGTCACCGTATTGATGCGCACCGTATTGATGCGCACCTCATGTTCTTAAACAAAATGAAAGGTTCTTTTTGTTTTAATTATTATTATTATTATTATTTTTTATTTTTTTTAAATGATTATTGAAACTTTTCATAATTAATCATAAACGAAGGACTGCGTTCAAGCTGTGTTAAGGATACAGTTGAACAAGATTATGTGGGTGCTTGAGATAAGAAACTTGAACCTGGACAATGAGACGAGAACGTTTCGGCGAAGAGGCTTCGCAAGCTGACAAGGACGGATAAAACTCGAGTGTCCTGTTTCTTAATTCAAGACTTCCACATACCTTGTTCAACTATAGTTTTAATGATTAACCAGTTCCGGGGTGAAATATAGAGGTACCGCAACTCCATCCACGCAGTCCCGCAGTGGGGGGGGGGGTGCTCGCTAGTGTGGGATCCACTGTACTATATAGAACTAAAGTAAACACGACTGGGCCAACAGTTCAAGTTGATAGAAGTCCGTGTACTTACTGGGTAAACGACAGGAGAAATCTCCCACAAGGTGGCCTCCCCTTATTGGGCAACCCTTCCCCAATGGGTGGCCTCGTCAAACATAACACAATATGTGGGGCGAATGAGAAAATAGCTCTATGCATGATCTATGTGGCTCAGCCGCATTTGATCACGTGATGTGAGTTGTTGTTTTTTTGGGTTCCAAATTAAAAAAAAAAAAAGAACAAAAAAAGGAAATTGAGTTTAAAGAAAACAATTGAGCTACATGGTCAATGATATTACATATATTGTATTTAAACTGAGTCTCGCGGGATGTAAGGATGCCACCGCCCCACCCCCCCCCCACCCCCTTTTTTTTTTACCCACCCTGGCTTTTCCATCTAGATTTTCCTTAACACTCAATGTAACGAATCTTTGTGTTACCAGCTGGGCGGAGATAAAAAAAAGTGGGTGCGGGTAGAGAGGGGGGGGGGTGATCTGCTGACAAGGACACAGCTGATTCTCCATATAAATTCCAGTGAGCATAACCTTGCACAGAAAATCGAATTTTCAAACCTGAAATAGATTCAACTGGATGACTGGTATTTTTGATAACGCCTTTCCTTGCCCAGTCCAATCGTTAGCTAGGTCACCGGGCTGTGGTTAACATCTACACGGTGGCCTTATTGATAAGTTAAGCTCAAGGCGGTGTGGCGATATCGGTGGTCGATTGTTGACGCAGTTCTGTAGCCGACCCGAGTAGATATGACAGATATGTGGGGGTTTTTTTGTTTGTTGTTTTTTTTTTAAAGTGGGGCAAATTTTTAATGTGGTTATATACTTTATGTCAATAGATTGTGTCTGACGCACGTTCAGTAGTGTTTTAGCGTGCAGCGATTATCCGAACTATTGATTTGAATGCTAGTTTTCTCATGTTAATGAAGGCACCGATATCTGAACTATTGATTTGAATGCTAGTTTTCTCATGTTCATGCAGCGATTATCCGAACTATTGATTTGAATGCTAGTTTTCTCATGTTCATGCAGCGATTATCCGAACTATTGATTTGAATGCTAGTTTTCTCATGTTCATGCAGAGATTATCCGAACTATTGATTTGAATGCTAGTTTTCTCATGTTCATGCAACGATTATCCGAACTATTGATTTGAATGCTAGATTTCTGTGCCAACCAGTAAAGTTTTAAAATATTTTTTATTCTTTTAATTTTTTTCTTCCCCTTTTTACATTTCAGAAACAACAGTATAGGTTAGCAGAGGACGGCAGAAGCGTTGGTGGAGCCTTGCGAGATTGTGAAGATGTTTGTTATTGTGTTGTTGTGGGTGTGGCCTAAATGACTCAATGTCACTGCAGCGTCCCTCCCTTAATTGTGCCTCATCGTGTGGCCGGACACGTGCTCAACCTGGCCCCAGCCATGCACCCTCACCAGGCCACACCTACACCCCGCCATGCCACGCCTACACCCCGCCATGCCACGCCTACACCCCGCCATGCCACGCCTACACCCCGCCATGCCACGCCTACACCCCGCCATGCCACGCCTACATCCCGCCATGCCACGCCTACACCCCGCCAGGCCACGCCTTCATCCCGCCAGGCCACGCCCATGCCCCTTTCGGTCGCACGACCCACACCTCGTCTAGCCACGCCTACTCCTACCCTGTCCTGGCCTCAGACCCCGCATCGATCGCCAATGCTGGTCTGGACCCGAGGGCCTGCAGCGTGGACAGCGACATGGTTCTGTTGTGGAAAGACATCGACATCACGGACTGCATGAGATGCCTCCCGTCAAGGGAAAGTCTTCTGGGGGCGTCCATAGAGGAGGTCATGGAAGAATTTGTGGACGCGGCAAGGAATCATAAGCTGCACTCTGACCTTAGACGACATGGGTCACGTGACAGCATCACAGAGCCAAATAAGGTGACGTCGCCGACTCCCCGTCGTCAACACAGGTCAAGTGATGTTCTGCATGTGTCAAGGCCAGTCTATGGGTCAGCTCAACGTTTGCACGCCGGTTTGACCGATGCAGCAAGGTCAAGGAGACCTGAAGCTTTGTACCGATACACAAAAGATTTACAAGATAAAGACTCATCACGTGACCTGCCGAATTCACACTTGGCGTGTCTGACAGCTCCATTGATTTCAGAACAAGATGGCCACCACAGATGTACGCACAAGAGCAGTTTGGTGTATGGTGGATCTGATGGGTCAAAGGTCAGCAGCGACGGAGAACATAGGACCAGCAGCGGCAGTTTTAGTGACGACTTTGACACCCCCGAGGAGTATCCGGAAGTGTTCGATGATGTGCCTTACAAGAAAGCCGTTACCATGTTAAACAACAGCCAAAGCCATCGGGCCACCAACAGCATCCACAAAATGGAGGCACAGTGTCATAATCCGGAGTGCATGAAAAATTTTGAAGTTTGTGAAAGCTCTTACAAAAACTGTCAGTTTTGTCACATGGTGTACTGCTGCTGGTATTGTAGAAAGCGAGACTGGAAGAGACACAGGAAGTTGGCGTGCCACGGAAGCCGCGTGAGCAAGGCGTGCAAGGAAGTTGTTCAGTTCTGCGCTGTGGACCAGGGCGTGCTGGAGTTCATGTCCAGAATGGCTCGCCGCGGCTACATGTCCAGCGGGCGGGGCTGCGTCATGATGGGGTTCCCCGACCTCGCGGCGGCGCAAGAGTTCATCAGACGAGGTCTGGCCTCGCTGGAGATGAAGCCGTTGTACGTGACCACCAAGGAGATGGAGGTCAGCAAGATTCACGGGCGGGTGCTTGGCAAGCTGGTGGACGCCTGCAGCAGGTACGAGCCCGAGGTGGACTTCGTGCTCAACGTTGGTGTGGGGGTGAGGTGGAACAGATGCGGTGCGCTGGCACCAGGTCACGAGGCCCCGGAGGGTCAACGAAGCTCAGAGAGAAGTACCAGCTTGTCCCGGTCAAGGTCGGGCAGCGTGGGCAGTGATGGCGGCTACGGGAGTTTGAACTGCAGCATGAATCACACGGCAGACATGGAATGGCATGAGGGGGACATCGTCCACTACGACTACAGTCTGGCCAGCCACAGGTCACCCATCATACAATGGTGTGCTTATCTCAAGCTCAGAAAAGTGAACTCGTTCCGGAACAACAAACAAGCTTTAGGAGATTCACGTGAAAACTCCAGGTATGGAACCACCCTCATCCTCACAGGGGTCCCCGGGGTAGCAGGGGAAAGAGACAGGAGGCGAACGAGGGGAATCAATTTCATGAACGTGCAGCGGAAGCTTCGAGAAAGAGGCGTCACCTTGAGGCACCAGTTCCCCCGGGTGTACGCCGCCCTGGTCAAGTATGTTTCGGACGGTGACCGCTTCCCGGCGGAAATCATCTACCCTGTGGACACCATCCACAAGAAACTGTTTATGTGTGTGCTCATGCCGGAGTCGGAGCCTGATTTGGAGTGGACCCAGTCCAGTCACTTGTTGAGCGACCTTGACATTTCCAAACAGTGTCTGTGGGAGTCTGTTCCTTCTCCCCAGTTTTTTTCATCTCCACGTCGCTTGTGTTACCATACAGATGTCATTCCCACATTACTAGAACATCCCAGAAGGCAGCCTCACGTCAATGAAACAACACAAATTTCTGCCCCACTTCACTGGAACATCACAGAGGTCAGTCCGACATCACCGGGACATCCCAATGCACAATCACAGCATAGTGACGTCACGGCTTCGAATCTTAGCAACGAATATGGCAAAATCATTAGTAGACCAGGAATTCCCTCACCACATCCCTTGACAGCCAAGTCACAACCTGTGGCAGCCAAGTCACAACCTGTGACAGTCAAGTCGCAACCCGTAACAATCAAGTCACAACCTGTGGCAGCAAAGATACAACATGTGACAGCAACGTCACAACCAGCGAAAGCAAATTCACAACATGTCTCAGCCGAATCGCAACCAGGGACAGCAAAGTCCTATGCCATTGTCACACCATCAACCGTTACCTCTTCACCTGTCATCCTGTCAGTTGTATGCTCAAGCCACACAGCCGTGTCTGCCACCGCAGCCGCTTCAACAACAAACTCACTATCAAATGACAGCTCCACCAAGTTTGGTTCCAGTCAGCATCATCAGACACGTGCACGACAGCCTTACGTTAAGGAAACCCAGCAAATCCACCAAATCCATCGGGTGGCAGAGTTCACCAGAAGACATTCATCTGCAAACGAGGTCCACCAGAACTCACCAAGGTCAAGGCTGGGTACACACACTCTGCCACAATGTGAAGGGAGCAAAGAAACGAGCACTGATTGCGAATCCCCGGAGAGTGGTGGTCCTTTTTCTAAATTGTCGCAGTGTCCTGCTGGGTCGGTGCTGGAGCTGCTTTCCCAAACCAACAGGTTACCATGGCAACCGTACCACCGAAACGTCAATAAGATTATACAGGACTGGGAGACTGTTTCTCCCGGATGGCGTAAAAGTAAATACACTATCGAACAAAGCAGGGATCAGACGCCAAATAAACGAACAAAGACAGGACCGATGGTCAGTTCTACAGGGCCATTGGTCAGTGCTACAGGGCCATTGGTCAATTCTACTATACAAAATGTAAATTCTGCATCTAAAGGCTTAATTGTATTGTCCTCGCTCAAGCCTTCATCATCGCCGTCATTATCATCTTACGCCAATGTCATTGATGACACTTGCCATGCCGTAGTTGACACTTGTCATGTCATAGATGACACATGTCATGTCATACCCATGTCCTCTGACTGGTAGACTATTTCTCCTGCATCTGTAACATGTTGTGATATATAATTTTTTTTTGCCTGGGATGTATTTTAATTAAGAAGAAGTGGTCATGATTGCATTTGTGGATGTACTGCCATGTCACCACCCACTCCATTAGGAACAGCCAACGGGAATACCCAAGCACCGGGAATACCCAAATACCCTCAAGACTTTTGGAGTCCCTTTTGTCTTTATGCAACTCCATTTTAATGAGATAATTCGTGATTGTTTTTTAATATGTTAATCTGTTTCAAATAATTACCTTTTTAATAAGCTAATGAGATTCACAGATAAAAATATAATTGTAACCCATGTTTTAGAGCCATATATTTCTTCAAGCTACTGTTCTGTATTGTGAATGTCTGTGTCTAACAAATGTGATAAAAGATACAGATTTGTCTTCCAATTTCATCAAATTTATACACCCCCCCCCCCCACACCTATATTTTTTTTATTTAAAAAAAAAAAAAACAAAAAAAAAAAA